ATTGATATCCAAAAACTCCTCCTCTACCAGACCCTCCCTTGCCTTCTTATAAAGGCAGCCCACTTCTAACTACCCAACAACAATTAATTCCTAAACTGAACAATTAATTCTTCAACTGTTTTCTCTCTCCTGCACACCTAATACCCATTATAACCTATCATATTAAATCCTATCAGGCTTAAAAATAGAATTTAATCTTTCGTTGAACTTAAAGGCTTTGTGATAGGTATCCAGAATTTCTAGAGAATTCCAAGTCAGATTCTTGGATGTTTTACTAGAAACATTGAATTCTTACCAATGTGGTAAGAATAGGAACAACCACGTACAACACTCAAGGTCTTTTGAGAGGACCTGTCTCTCCTAACTCTTCCCCTTTACAAAACACTCCAAAACTACATACAAAAACCCAAAATAGATCATATATAATAGTCTGTTATACAACACAACTGCAGGAGGTTATTACTACCTGCTTCCTTTATATCTTCTAACATAGACTTTGCCACTAAACCTCTCACTTTAGTTTTTAATTTTGATGAAATAAAATAAAAAAATAGCATGAACAAAGGTAGTCAATAAGTAATTGCTATCAAATTCATGATATACTTTTAAAATATATTATAAAATGCATAGGATTGGAGCTTGTCTCTTATTACCTTTTGTTAGGCACAATGGTTATGATATTCTACTTTGAACTCTTTTACCTTCCTAGTGCCTTTTTAGTTTTATGTTGTCCTACTTTTTGTGTAATTAAGCTTATGGATTCAAGTCTTGGTATACTACAGGCTTCAACTCCACATTGCGGCTTGGAAATATTACACACCATGAATACATTCAGGTTGAAAATATACGTAGCTATTGGATGCTTTCTGCATTTGGTTCAGTGTTACTCTTCTTTCTCTTATTCTAACCGATATCTTCTGTAGGTTGGAAAAGGAAGGGATGTTGGGTTAAATCAGATTGCACTCTTTGAGGGAAAAGTGGCTGGTGGTAATGGAGAGCAAGTTCTTAGCAGGGACATTTACAGGCTTGGACAACTTTTTGATTTCTTCAGAATGCTTTCTTTCTTCTTCACAACTGTGGGTTATTATGTCTGCACCATGGTATAGTTCTTAGGCTCTGAAATTTTTGGTTGAAAATGAGTAACATTGATTTGTCTTGGTTGCCTAATAAATTTTATTTTTATTCTTGCAGATGACAGTTCTTACCGTATATGTATTCTTATATGGAAGAGCATACCTGGTAATTCAACAGGACTTGTTCAGTTATCTTTCTGTTTTGCACCACTTTTTGGACTCCTTTTGCTTTGCATTCTTGTATTACCGTACTGTAGAAGGATTTAAATAATATCCTCCTGATTATTTGATATCTATCTTTCCCTCTATCAATTTTCCTTTTCTACACCGATAAAATTATTGGCTTGCTTTTTACATAAATAAGTTGATGCTTTTATTTCTATGTAAATTTTCTGATATGATCTTTTCTTTCTTTGTAACTTGTTAGGCTTGAGAAAGATACACAAGAATATTAAAATAAATTTGAGAGTGTGTTTCCCTCCCTTAGGATCTCATTTTTGTAATCATTTAGTTAAGTTACATTAACTAAATGATTCTCGAACATCAACTATTGTTCCCAAAACGGGTGTATTTTTTAGATGCATAATTATATATGATGTTAGTTGCATACCATGTTATTTTTTTGTTTTTTGTGATCAATTAATAAAACTGTTACTGTAATTATTCGTGAAATTATTCCTGGCATTCAATATAATTATTTTCAGTTATTAGATTTCAGAACTTGGGTGATCATTTGACTAGTGTAATACAATACGTTATTGCTGAGGAATAACAACCATTAGTTCTATGTTGATGATTACGTGACATATACTTCATATATGGAGCTACAATTATGGTAAAAGTCGTTGTGGATTGCATTGGATTCATGAACTTGAGCAAGATAAATTGGAATTCATTTGGATGGAGACTTTCATAAAATTCAATGCTAGGTTACCTGTTAATTTGGCTTCACGCTTTATTCTGTAGTACTAAAATCACTCTTGCACTGACTTGTATATCGGCAATTTAGTAGCAGATATGCTTACTTTTTTATCTTTGCACTGACTTGTATATCGGCAATTTAGTCCTAATGCAACAATTTGCAAGTTTAATTATTTAGTCACCTTTTAGCGTTGTGAAATTAATAGTTAGGTAAAGATTTCATTTTCATCTGGTTTGCGTGTTATATCCACAATTGTGAATAATTTGCTGAAATTTATCTAAACTCCACAATTTTTCTAATTTCGCTTTTACTTAAAAACTGATTTTCTTCCTTGATGATGCTTCCTCTTTCAGGCATTTTCTGGTCTTGACGAAGCTGTCTCAGACAAGGCAAAATTGGCGGGTAACACAGCACTTGATGCAGCTTTGAATGCTCAATTTTTGGTTCAGATTGGCGTTTTTACTGCAGTACCAATGATAATGGGTTTTATACTTGAATTAGGACTGCTGAAGGTTAGTTTACTTGTTAAGAATGTTAAAACTGTGATTGTTCCTGATGCATTTAGGAAGTTTTATATTAGCCTTGCTGTCTTTGTATTCTGTATTTTTATATTAGCCGTCATCTATTTGGCCTAGTATTAGTGATTGGAATGATTTTTTCTCTCCGAAATTCTAAATAGATCATTGGTGATGATCAATCTTGATACGATCCTGTCAAGGAAATCTTTTCTGAATCTGAATCCTCAGAAGGCACAATAAAAATAAATCAGAAAAGAATACAGAATAAGATAGAGATAGAGACGCTACAATCTAGAAGATTGATAAGTCTAGTGAAGATTCGCCACAAAGATATTAATCTTTGATAAGAATCAGAGTTCCAAGAACTAAGAGAATCGTCTCTCAAGAATGTAAATGCATATAATATGACTTAAAAGTGTTTACATTAACGTTTGATACCTCTATATATAGGTACATAAGTTTAAGAAATCCTTCAAACCCTAAAATAAAGCCCAAAGCCCAAAACACATAAAAATGACAGAAAATGAAAATTACAGATGCAAAATTTTTGCCTGGCAAGGCGTGGTCGTCCAGCAAACACAAATTAGGTTGCCCAACATGTATATATTTAAGAAATCCTTCATGTTCTTTAAATCCGTTCGTGGAACATTATAAGATTGAAGGATACGTGTTTTGATCTTGGACCTTATCATAGATCCTTTGAATTGCAATTGTTCTTCCTCAAGTTCTTCTCATATATGTTTGAGGAGGTAGCCCTCTATCAAATCTGTTAATTTCTAGAATGATGCTTGGCTTTTTAATAGTTCTATGTCTCAGCATCTTGGCTCATCTTGTGTCACTTTGGATCTAAGGTTTGAGATGCCAAGAATGGCATTGGTTGGCACATCCCAACTTCTTTAAGCAATTTTGAGAATATTGGTAACATCAATTTCATAGCTATTACTATAAGGAGCAATGACGTTTTTCTATCGATTAGTAATAAATGTGCAGTAAATGCAACCTATCTACCACTCACCCTGGATCTGTATTTATAGTTTTCGCTATGGGCTTGGGATTAGTGAAAAGTTAATCACGGCCCAAATTCAGCCCAATAGCTTTTAACCTCCACTTACCTTAAACCAGACGAATTAGCAGTATGGCCGGCTGGTCTCCTAAGTTCGGCCCTTGGATCGGCCGGCCCTTATGGGCGACATGTATAACAAACGGCGTGTCCGGCCGGCCTTCATAGTGTAGCCGGATGATGAGATAAAATCACGGCCGGCCCTTATGGGCGTCATGTGTAACAAACGGCGTATCCGGCCGGCCTTCATAGTGTAGCCGGATGATGTGGTAAAATCACGGTCGGCCCCTATGGGCGCCCTGTGTAACACACGGCATGTCCGGCCGGCCTTTGTAGTGTAGTCGGATGATGAGGTAAAGTCGCGTGATCTCGGACATGTGGGCGTTCGGTTTGTTGCATCGATCCTTCGATGATGAACCAGAATAGCGCGTTTGGTCTAATGTAGACGCCCGGCCTATCTGGCGTCCGGTCCCAACTGGTACAGCAATCTTCACGAGGAAAGTTTGAGTCATTTTTTCTGAGTGTGTTTTTACTAAGAATCTTTGGTCCTGGTTAAATTTTGTTTTTCCTATTTTCTCCTGCCTTTTCTCTCTAAAAGAGCTAGCCCTATAATTTGTGACATTAGGCTTAACATAACCTTCGTTGTTTGGATTAGATGGAAAGCTAGAAATCAAGTGATGAGTTGATGGCTGTCATCCTTGCAAAAGGGATCTCTAAAGCTAAAATCTAGAAATGCTTCTAACTTGAATGTGCTCCTCTTTAGTTTGCACTGGTTTCTTGTGGAGGTTGAAAGCTAGTTGGCAGAAGGTTCTTAACATTTACAAAGATATGGAGTTTAGAGTCTCCCATATCTTTCGTTAGGGTAACAAATACGCTGATGGTTTTGCTGACATTGGTCTTGTTAATAGACTGGTTTAGAGTCTCCCATATCATGTGTATCTATTGGTAGCAAATAAGTTTGTCCATAACACTGAAAAATGTCTTTCGAGTCTGTAGATTGTCCAACAATTTAGTTTCTATAAAAAAAATTGCAGAGGGTCCCTCATGTAAATGCTTGAGAGTGAACGACCTTTACTACATTGAGGATAACAATTTTCTTATTGGAAGTCACCCCCTTTATTTGAGTCTCCCATGACGAACAAAGAAAAAGCTTAATCATTCCATTGTCACCTAGGACACCTCTCTTTTTTAGAAAATAAGTTTAATTGTGAGGTGTGTTAGGTTGCTAAACACAAGTGTGCACCTTTCTTTGTTAACAATAGAATAAGCTCTTTTCCCTTGTTTGTAGTGATGTGTGGGCTCCCTCTAATCTCCCTAATATGGTAAAATGGAGTTTGAATCATGTTTCCATAGTATGGCAAGATATTGTACTGTATGAGCAATGTTCTCCATGGTTTCCTTTTACCATGGGCTTTCCTCAAATATTTGATTGCATGAAAGCCCCTTTTCATGTCGTCATTGCAAAGCTTGTGTTGCAGGTTCCTCCATTAAGCATGGTAGACTTTCCAATCTCTTCAGATATTGATGTTGATATTGATCTAGTTCACAATGAAGTCAAAATTTCATGATTTTTTGATGTAGAGATAATCCAATTTGGTATTAAACAACCTGCTTTCAATGTCATAACAAGTAACAAAATCTTTTTTCTAAGAAAAGGTGCTATTTATGTAATTCCAAATTTCTCTAGCAGGGGAAAGCCACATTGAGGTAATGTCAGTGAATCTCCATCCCAAATCCCAATATAGGTTCATTTGACCCAGATCCTTCACAACTAACAGATTTGGAAGGAAGGAAAGGTGGGAGAGGTCGTGGGTAGAGGTGTCAACTTGACCCATGACCCATGGGTTAGCCCTAATCCATTCTTTCAAAAGCTCCATTTTAGGAAGCTCCTCAAGTAGGGGCCAAAAAAAAGCCCCAACCCCCAAAGCCCCCTCTCAAGTAGATTGGGGTTAGGGTTAAGGTGGGTTTAGCCCCACTAAATAAACTTATGTCTACTTTAATTTTCAAACCTATTTACTTTTCACAAATTCATAATTTAGTTATTCAAGACTCAAATTCTTTATATATTTTTTAGTTTAAGAAAAAAATGAGATTATTTTTCATGTTAAAAATTCAATTTCAGAAAATTATGAATTTGATTATTTTCTTAATTATTTATTGTTCACTGTTATTAATTTTTCGGTGCAGTATTTATAACAATAATTTGATTATTTTCTTAATTATTTATTGATCACTGTTATTATTATTTTTTTAAAGAGGGTCGAAGTTATTGTTACTTTTTCTAATATGAATTTAATAAATAAATAACATTTTCAGTAAACAATATTTTTCAAAAATGGTTTTTGAACATTTAGAAAATAAATAAAAATTGAAGAAGGTAGGATCCAACTTTCTTAAATTGAAATAAAGTTTCAGAAAGTTTATTGCTAAACTATTTTATGTGACAATGAATTAAGTAATTAAGTATTTTTATAAAAATACTGTTACTTTTTTATTTTTAGAAAACTTGTATAGATGTTTCTGACAATAACTTTGGCTTATGAAATATAATTTGATCATATTTAGAAATTATAACACTTAGATTTGCAACAAATTAGGATTAATTACATTTTTTCTTGTATTTAAAATGAACATTGCTTTTAAAAAAAAGACTCATGGGTTGGCCCTAGCTCACAAGGCTTTTGTAGATATTTTGACCTGTGACTTTTTCTTGTCTCAACCCACGTGGGTCAGGGCCAAACCATTTTAGGGGGCCAAATTGACTGTTCTAGTCATAAGTTCAACTCTCCCCACTAGTAAAATACTAAACTAAAAAAAAAAAAACTCAGATCTACTCAAAATGTCATTTTTGGAGGGTTACCTACCTTCTGCTGTTGTGATTGCTGGGATGAGGTGCATCTTTCTGTCCCACCATTATATTCAGGGAAGGCAATGGCAGTAGCTGGTGGATGGTGCAGAGGAAATAGAAATCTCGAGATTGGTAGCTCTAATACCAACTTGAATAGTGAGACAATAAAGAAATATTTCATCAATTACATTTTCAACTCCTCAGTTTTTAACAATCACGTTGTCATAAAAGAGGAAACAAAATCTATTGGAATGACTATTGGAATGAATGTGTAGATTCTAAGGATAATTTTGTCCTAATAATTCCTTACTTACATCAAAACTGATCCAAATAAAAGGTATGGCTAGTATTGCCCAGTTTTGAACTGGTTATTTCTAAAACTTGTCTTGAGGGCTGTAATCGAACTGGTTTGCAATATTTATTCGTAATGCCAGTTTTGGTGAAGGGTTCCTGGTAGAATTGATTGTTTTGGTGTGGTGACTACTATATTTTCTGTTATTACATTTATCAAATATGTTTCAGTTTTATTTATAGAACTTGTTCTTCTCATTTTCTTTTTCCCTAATCTTGCTGCTATAATTCTACATGGTTGTGAGGCCTTTATAAAAATATGATTCTATATACTCTATTCTTACATGGTCTGTCTTGTGAAAATGTTTGCAGGCTATTTTCAGTTTCATCACAATGCAACTACAGTTGTGTTCTGTCTTCTTCACGTTCTCATTGGGAACTAGAACTCACTATTTTGGACGTACAATTCTCCATGGAGGTGCAAAAGTAAGTTTTTTTTTTTTTTTGTGTTGACTTTTTGGAAAGCTCACATTTATAGTTATTTTGAGTGACTTAGATTTTTCTTGGAATTTTTTACCACAGTATCGAGCTACTGGTAGAGGCTTTGTTGTCCGTCACATAAAGTTTGCTGAAAATTACAGACTATATTCTAGGAGTCACTTTGTCAAAGCGTGAGAAATTTTTTCTTGATTTATAATTTCTTCCTTTGGTTGAGGTTGAAGGAAACTGTATTTTCATTGATTGTTAATTATTTGCAATGCAACAGGCTTGAAGTGGCACTGCTTCTTATAGTTTATATAGCATATGCGTATGCAGAGGGAGGTGCTGTTACCTATGTTTTGGTAACTCTTAGCAGTTGGTTCCTTGTCATTTCTTGGCTTTTTGCACCTTACATTTTCAATCCCTCTGGTTTCGAGTGGCAAAAGTAAGTCACCTGCTACTTGATTCCTTCATTGGTTTTAATGTTATATTTTCTTGATGGTAAATACCTAATTTGGCCCTCCAAAATAGTATAAATGTTATTAATATATTAAAATGTTCTTTCAAATTTATTTTGGATGTCAAACCAATCCTTCTGGTGGACCAATTAAAAGTGGCATTTGATGACTAATTTGATATGAAAGTATTGACAAATGAGTGTTCTTGATTTTTTAGTTGATTGCAGCTAGATTTTTAAATGGGTCCTTATGTTTTTGGAAAGGTGCTGAAATCATACTACTGTGGGAAAATTTATTGATCATCCTATTCTGATTTGGTGGTAAACAGGACTGTGGAAGATTTTGATGATTGGACAAGTTGGCTTCTTTACAAAGGAGGCGTAGGGGTAAAAGGAGAAAATAGTTGGGAGTCTTGGTGGGACGAAGAACAGGTTAACATTTATTCTTTCACTTGATTGTAATAAGTTTGGGGTCAAAATGGAGCAATACACAAGTTGATTGAGGGTTTAGTTATTCTAAATGGAACAACGCTTTTTCAACCATATACACGTATATACAATCTCTGATATTTTTCATGTACAACATGCTAGAATAACCTTCATGCGGATGCCGGATCTATTAATTTAACAACTAATAGTGCTCACATTTTATGCAGATGCATATCCAAACTTTGAGGGGTCGCATTTTGGAGACAATTTTAAGTGCAAGGTTCTTCTTCTTTCAATATGGTATTGTGTATAAGCTGCATCTTACTGGAAAAGATACATCGCTTGCGGTAAACATTTTCGTCTATTGAATAAATATTTGTCATGTATTTAGTCCTTGTATAAAGCATAATATAAATTTCTTCTTTCATCTTTGTACTAAATATATGTTCTACTCATTTGTGAAGAGGGTTATGGCTTCTAGTATTTTGTTAATGAGAGCTTATATATTGTCTTTGATATATTTTATAGATATATGGATTCTCGTGGGCTGTCTTGGTTGGAATTGTCTTGATATTTAAGGTTTGGACTTTTCCTAATAATATGATCTTTTTCACAATTTCTGTTTTTGTGGGCAGCATATTTATCTTTTCCTTTATGTTTTTTAAACACCTTATTTTAGTATTCTAATATTTCCTTGCTTTGCAGATCTTTACCTATAGCCCAAAAAAGTCGGCCGATTTTCAGCTAGTGTTGAGATTTTCCCAGGGAGTCGTATCTATAGGCCTTGTTACAGCGGTGTGTCTTGTTGTTGCCTTTACTAGACTGTCAATAGCTGACCTTTTCGCAAGCATCCTTGCATTTATCCCTACTGGATGGGGAATATTGTCGGTAAGTTCTGATTTATTTCTATATGAATTTTATTTTGACAATGGATGTCTGTGTTGGAAAGCTACCTTAATTGCAGCTATCGGAATTAGCTATTAGTAACTAGAAAAGGCCCGTATTTTGTTGCCCCTACATCATTATTGAATTTTGCATTGAGATTTGTCTCAGATGCATCCATATGCCATAATACTTTCAAATGAAAACGGTTGTTGATGTTTTCAAGAACCAATAACGGCGTTCCATAAAAATCCCAATCTTTATAATTAAGTGTGATGGATGGTATTATTGCAAGGGTTTTCCCTAAAAGTTCTCAACAGGAATACAATATTATATGATTGTAGTTGTGGTATTATTGTCTCAACAATTCACCTAAGTAGTACTGTAAAACTCATTGATCACTCTTCTTTGGTGCCTCAGATTGTCAGTCATTCTAAAAATCTGTTTTTTTTTTCGGTGAATCACACTACGATTAAATCTTCTAGGAGGAGGAGCCAACGGATCCATTTGAAGCAAGTTACAGCTTCTAACGTTTGTTAAATTTTGTACACTTTTCAGGTAGCAATTGCATGGAGGAAGATAGTTTGGAGTCTCGGATTGTGGGATTCTGTCCGTGAGTTCGCTAGAATGTATGATGCTGGAATGGGTATGATCATCTTTGCACCAATAGCATTTTTATCATGGTTTCCTTTCATTTCCACTTTCCAATCTCGCCTTCTGTTCAATCAAGCCTTCAGTCGTGGTCTTGAAATCTCTCTCATCCTTGCTGGAAATAAAGCCAATGTTGAGGCTTAGGACTTTCCATCTTACATTGTATACATGCGGGGCTTGTATATTTTAGATGTATATTATTTTGTAGTTCAGTGTTGAGTTTTTGTACATTTAGTCTAAAAAAAATGAAAGATGGTTTTTAATGGATCTCTTAGTTTGTCTTGTTCATAAGTTCAGTTTCCACCATTATACATTTTGTCCGGTTCGCTTAGAAGCACACCAGCAACGGGGGCAAACAGATGAAACACCCATTCTCTCGTGTAGTTTTAGTTTCCCTGTGGACTTACATCGGATGCAGTTCCATATTACGCGTCTAGTTTTTATTAAAAGATATCTATTGGCTTGTTTTAAACATATAGTGCAATATCTTGTGGTCAAGATATTAAAACGAGCATAACGTTCGTTAGATGGCATGAACAAAGTGAACAGTTTGTCTTTTGCATTTTCTGGCTTATAAAATCAGTTTATATTTCAAACATTCAATTATCTCCATCCACAACATTGTCCATGTTTTCACTTTTCCTTCACACTTTTTGTCCTGGATATTTTTTCCTTGAACTTAAACATTTTCATCCAGTTAATTTTAATTTATTTATATATTATTCTTTTCTATTAGTTTTACCACTTCCTTTTTTTGACTTCTGTTACTAGGTTACTGCACTTAGATATATGGTGTTTGTGATTTATCATGAATTTGTTATTGTTGTAAAGTTGTTTAGTGTTGAAAAAATAGCCTTAAATCCATAAATATTATTACAAGTTATACTTTTAAATAACAATGATGAAGTAATATTATGATCATATTTACTCTATAAGTTATATCCATTATTTGTAAACTACTGATTAATTTAAACCAAGATGATAATATATTGATAAATAATAAAATAATTTAAAATTATAAGAGTAATATTGTAAATCAAAGGTTATATATCACAATGGATATATTTAGTATTGCTCACATTATTTTATATGCGATAATGCAAACTTAAAAAGTAAAATAATAGGTGACGCCAACAACGTATAACTCAGGCTCCGTCTAGACTTAAATATGGTTTTTGCTTCCTGCACCTCAATGAAAAAAGAAAGTGAAAAAAATACTCTTTGGTCATGTTTTACCTCTTACCTAGTTCTTCTCCATTCTCTTTTGCTGCCATAAACTGTGCTCTACATTTTCGTCACCGCTGAAAGTGTTACTGCAGCTTTTAAATTTTCATTGTTGTCGCAAGACACATCAGCTATTACTACACCTCTCGTTGGTGTTGGCAAAGAATTGCACTGCTGCATCAGTATCATTTCTTTTTAACTTTTAAGATTTGTTATTCTGGAAACCTTTCTGATTGGTCATTTCGTAAAAAATTGAAGGAAGGTGTAGTGATTTGCAGTTTTCTGTATTGGGCATTCTGGAATCGCCAATTTGGAAACATGTTTTGAATTGAGCATTCTGAAATATCTTTCCAAAATAACCAATTTGAAAGATGTTTTGTATGCTTCCAACACAGGGAAGATAATGTGTAGACTTGAGTGTACAACTATAATGCACTTCATGAAACCGGACATAATTTTTTCCAACATTCTCTCGCAATATGTTGCAATCCATATTTTTATATAAAACCTTGCAATTTGTTATACGATGTGATGTTAAACACATAATCAACCACATGAAGACTCTGCTAAACTGAAGTTTTGATAACATTATATTGTCATGTTGTTAGTTAAATCCCAATATAAAAATGTCTCTCGTAGAGGTTTGAAACATAGGATGTAATATACAACCTCAACCTTACATATCAAAATAATTATGAAATCTTATAACTTTTACATTTATCTCTATCACTCCTCAAAAAGGAAGCAATTATAAAAAAGTAACGGAGATTAAATTGTTATTTGGTTATATAATTATTGTAAAGGAGATTAAAAATAGCGGCAACAAAAAAAAATAGATGGAATGTTTTAGAAAAAAAAGATTGCATTCTAAATGTTATAATTTAAAAATGTAATTAAAAGTTAAAAAAATGTATTCTTGCTATATAATTTAGATTTTATTATTAAATTATAAAATTTAAACATGTGTACTTTTTATATTTCTACACAGAATTTTGTCTAATTTACTTTTTGAATGAAAAATAAATATATATTTAAATGAGATCCACACGTTTTCCCTTTCCTTTCTATTCCGTGCCCTTCCAAACAAATAATTAAAATATTCCATCTTTTTCTTCCTTTATCGATGCTTACTGTACTTTTCCCATCATTTACTTTAGTCAATGTTATTAAACTTAAGATTCTACTAAGATCAAACATATATGACAACTCCCATTTTTTCCTAAAATACAAGCATACTTACTTGTCTATAATATTACATAGGAATAAAAAAGAAAAAAAAAACCTAAAATGAAGAAATTAAAGGAATAAAACAAACTTAAATTGAGATATTATGATCACCAATATGGGATAAAAATCTATTTTCTGATAACGTGTTAATGAACTTGTTAAAGAGAGTAGTTCTTGCACAAAATAAACATGGGTTCTCTTACCTCAACAAAGTGTATTTTACATATGATCTACAATCATACTGCTTCATTCACGATTTTAACAAAATAATAATCCAACAGTTATTCTGATACTACCCAAGTTCATAATTAAATTGAACACTCTTTATACATAAACACAAATTCACATTCACGCCAATAATCTAACGATGATCCAAATGAGAGAGAAAAAAAACTCAAGAAAAAAATAATATACATATTACTACTGGTAATAAAACTTCTGTTAAACATACATATTGCTATTCTGAAAGGCTTGCGCCACATTAGGCATAACTAGAGAAATTAAATAAATTTATCATGTTTTTTAAAATAAAAATTACAACTTTTAGTTGATATCCATATTCAAAACCAGAAAATGTTTATAGAGACTATTGTTTCCCATCACTGACACCTACATTTTCAGCCACACCAACACTAGCAGAATTTGAGTACGAGGATTGTTGATCAAGTCCACTCATAGTTGAGGGTGGTGGGTGATCGAACTTACAAGCTGGTCCAAATTTGCAAATTCCATAACGGCTGTAATATGTGCAAACATTCTGGTCCTGAATTTTCATAAGACATTCCACATAGATCAGGTAAACCAGCAAGCCTAACCTTTTGTGTCATCACCAATCAAAGAATACAAGATATTGTCTTTTCCGAATCAGAAAAGCAATACATAACTGTTTTAATTTTATCTAAAAGAACCCATATTACCACAACATTTTCTTGTTCAGAACTTTCATGATGTGAACTAGCATTTTTTTCAGAACCAACAGCTTCTTTGTTCTACATTTCTCATCAAATAATTTGTCTTGAATGTGTTAAGATAAAACTAAACAGAAACTGTGGAACAAATGTGGCAGGAATCTTGTAAATTTTAGAGTCTCCATGAATGCAAAAAACAATAGAACAAAATAACTTACCGGTCTCAAAGGTAGACCCTTGTTACTAAAGCTGCATGGAGGTAATCTTGCAATCCGATTCTTTGGATGGTGAAACCTACAATTAGATTTAAACTTGCAATCCCCAGTTTTTAAAAAATAGCTGCATTCAGGTTCACCAGGCCTTTCTGGAAACTCTTCAACCTGCACTTGTTGTTGATGATGCATATAAACATTTGTTTCCATAACTGGGTTGTTCATGACATATGTTGAAGGTAGATGCATATTCCTCTCAGGTAGATAGACAGGTGCCTGTAGAAAACCCAAGTTGAATAAATAGCAGGGAAAACAATCAATTATAAGGGTTAATATGCAGAATATTTAACTCAGAAAGTGAAATGATAAAAAGAACATTAGATTTCTTGCTTTAAATTGAATAGATCTTGTATGATAGAAAATTGGCAGACTAGTTTGCCATCATATACTAATAATAGAATACAATGTCCCTACCAAGATAGTTATTGAAATCTATTGATTTACCTGATATCCGTCCCATTCAGAACTCTGAGGAGAAACCCCTGGATTAGCTGAAAGTATCATTGGCACAAAAGGAGTGGATTCATTTAATGGTCTAGTAGAAGACCATGAGGATATAGATGACTGCGATACACCTTGTAATGAAACAGAACTTCCATTACCAAATCTAGAAGGAGAATCACCTCCTCCAGCCGTAGGATCAGGATGATTAAACTTGCAGTTTAATCCAAACTTACAAGAGCCAGTACGCATGAAATAGTGACACTCTTTCTCTCCCTGTCATGAAAAACAACTTCATCAAGTTTTAGGTATAAGTATTAAACAGAAACAAAAGATAGCGGGAACAAAGTAATTTTCAGCATAACATGCAATGAGGAATCAAGGTTATACCACTCGAATAGGCAAGCCAAGGAAGTTAAGCTCTGCAATTGGGGATGCGGATGAACACTTTTCCCTTTTGTGATTAAACTTACAAGCCTTCCCAAACTTACACCCACCAGATCTTAAATAATACTGCCACAACATCAGGAAAAGAAAATTCTGTTATGAACCTGTAATAAATAGTACGACATTTTGAAAACACGACACAATAAAGAGATTAAACATACATATACAAGCATGTTTCATCCAAAAATTGTTATAGGGATCCAACATTTTTCAACATAGCAAGGCTAGGCCAACATGATTCACAATGCCAAAAAAAAGCAAAACAGAGAACTTCGTAATCACCAAACATATAGGAGTATAGCATCAGAGAAAGAAATCAGCCAAACTAATATGCCATGATCCACCATGACAGAATCTTTGTTCATGGCAAATGCACAACATATAGAAAGACATACCAATACCTAATCAGAAAGTGTATCAAAAACGGGTATCATTTGACAACTACTGAATTCTGCATAATGATCACAAAATTCTAATAGAGAATATTATTCCTTATATGGTTCTACCACTCACCAAATCAAACTCGGGTATATCATTTTTACATTATCTAGTAAAGCATCCCTTAATGGCAAAGGGATTAAATAAAAAATAATATGAAAGTCCCAAAAACTAAAAGCATTGTATGGCATACAAATAATAAAAAAAAAGTATCTACTTTAAACATGACATTCCGATAAAAAGCCGTAGTTATTTGCCATGAACTATAAACTAATAACATTAGCAGATAAGATAAAACCTAAAGGTAATGCATGCTT